CTTTCATTTTTCTCCGATTGTATGTTATATGTACTTGACCAAGTGATTCTTCAAGCCTCGATTTCTTCATCTAAAGAATAGAGATACTCTCTATGAAATGTGCTTTTCTCCTCTAAGCACATATTCATACATAGGTGGTGTACTCCTTCCCAGGCTTATTAGTAGACATGACAACCAAGCCCACTAAGCAAGTCATACAGTGCGTAAGGCTGTTCCAGTAGTCATAGGGTCAAATTCCAGCCTCATCACAAATGCTGCCCTGAAATGACACTGCTCTCTCTGTCTAGGCCCAGGACTATTCAAGCAAACATCTGGTCAGGCTGGACGGGACTCACTAGTGTTCATGGTCTGCATACCTCCATCAGCAAGCAAGGAACTCGCTGGCACCATACCAGCAGAACTGCTTCACCCATGAACTTGGTGCAGTTTATTTCAGGCACAGAGATGCAGCCTAGCCTGAGAGTAGATTGAAAACTAGCTGGATCATGTCAGTTCTGTGCAACTAACTTCCTTGGAATTCTTTCTGGCCCTGGAACTATAAGAAACTGAAGTTCATTTTAACATACAGGTATTAATAGATTCTAGACTTTGGCAATATTTGCTGGCAGCTAAGGCATATCTACAGGTGGTAGAGACAACCTTCATCCCTCCTTCCTTGTGGCAGAATCCTTCACCTAGGGTTTCGGCGGCCACATGATTCACTCCATTTAGGAAGATACACAGAGGGCTGAAAACAAAGCAGTTGCCTCCATGACTACCTGATTGTTTCCATGGAACAGCCTGGCTTTTCTGCTACAGTAATTTTAGTGTGCCCAGCAAACTGGCGTTTTCTGCTGGATTTTCACTTTCAGAGTTCTGTCGCAGTTTTACTGGGATCTGATTACATCATGGAGGCAAACTTTGTGGTATTGACATGTTTTGTTTTGGCTGGTTGAGAGGTAATGCCAGAATTCTGAGTTCCACGGGAACAGAGCCAAGAGACATTTGGCTTCTCAGTTAGAGTTAGTGTCCGTGGGAGCGGAGCTGGGAAACTCTTGTTGGAGGATATATGGCCAAAACCGCATAATCAGATTTTGTTCTGAATGGGATACTTCCTAGGGTGTTAGGGGGGAAAAAATAAGTCACAGGAAAAGATTTGTAAATAGAATAATCTTGAATGGTCAGGAAAACGAATTAAAGGAATGGATTAGTGGATTTATTTTGCTTTGTTTTATATCTTGCTTAATTACCTTTAGAATTAATTGAATAACTATTTTCCCTCTCAGACGGGCTTCACAATGGAATTGGAAACTGAATCAGAATCTGACACTGGGTTTATGGTTTAGATTTCTGCAAGTTAGTTCTAGTTCTGCGTATAGCACATGTGGGCAACAAATAAAAGAGCATCTTATTTAATGTCAGATTTTTAGGAAAATAAGTATATGTATATGAAAAAAATCACCTTCACTGTGAAGCAAAAATAACAACATCATATTATATTTTTGTTTATTATAGTAGCAAATCAAAACTGGAATTAGTGAAAACTGAGTATGAGTGTATTTGCTTTGTTGCCAACCTATACATTTCTATATCAGGAATATTTAACGTAATATTAAACGTGATATGAACTCTTCAACATTTATAGGTTAGATTATTATGGAATTGTGATTGTTACACATACATTTTACACAGAAAAATTATGTGTTCTCATAGGTAAAATCTGACATTAAAAGAATGTGTTAGGGCCTGGCACAGTAGCCTAGTGGCTAAAATCCTTCCCTTGCACGTGCCGGGATCCCATATGGGTGCTGGTTCATGTCCCAGCTACTCCACTTCCCATGCAGCTCCCTGCATGTGGCCCGGAAAAGCAGCCAAGGATGGTGCAAAACCTTTTTTACCCTGCACCCACATGGAAGACCCTGAAGAAGCTCCTGGCTCCTGGCCATTTGAAGAGTACACCACTGGATGGAAAATCTTTCTGGAAAGCTGCATTCTATCTCAGCACACGATCAAGTCCAGTTACTCTGCTTCTAATCCAGCTCCCTGCTCATGTTCCAGAGAAGGTTACAAACTATGGCCCCAGTATTTAGGCACCTGCTGTCCATATGGAAGACGAGGATAAAGCTCCTGGTTTCTCTCTTCATCTTGGCCAAGCCACAGTTTTTGTAGCCATTTAGGAAGTGAACCAACAGATGAAAGATAGATTTCTTTTTCTTTCTCATGCTTTTTATTTTCTTCTTCTACCCCTCCCTTCTTCTAACATTATACCTTTCAAATAAACATTTTTGAAAATATTTATTTTAGGGGGAATGAATCATCAGATGGAAGATCTCCCTCTCTGTCTCTCCTCTTCTTTGTATATCTGGCTTTCCAATAAAATAAGTAAATAATTTACTTAAATTAGTCTCTCCTCTTCTCTGTATATCTGGCTTTCCAGAGAAGCTTTATACAGAGAAGAGGAGAGACTGAGAGGCAGATCCTCCATCCACTGATTTACTCCCTAAGCGGCCACAATGGCCAGAGCTGAGCCAATGTGAAGCCAGGAGCTAGCAGCCTCTTTCTGATCTCCCATGTGGGTGCAGAGTCCCTAAGTTTTGGGCTGTCATCGACTACTTTCCCAGGTCACAGGCAGGGAGATGGATGGGAAACAGTGCTGCCAGGATTAGAACTGTTGACAGTATGGATCTCAGCACATGCAAGGCGAGGATGTTAACCACTAGACTACCGCACCGTGCCCCAAGTAAATATATATAATTTTAAACTTTACCGGGTCCTTGATAGGATATGGTATTTACTGCGGTGTCTTGCTATAACCATGTATACTCTCTAATGTAAATGTGCAAATTTTCTAAAGAATCTCTTTTTACAATGATATTGTGGACAAACCAAACTAATACCATTTTGCACTGCCTGACATATTACTCCAGGATGACCAAAATGAGTATAGCTTACTTTGATATGTTTTGCATCATGTACGCTGGCAAAGAGTGTCCATACAAATGAGATTGCAACACTGTATGCAGCACGCCAGGCAGTGTTGTGATTTCTTAGTTGTATTATTGGTACCAGTCATATGTTTCATTTTAAAAAGTGATTTGATATTTTAAATGAATTTTTCTCTTGTTATACTTTTAATAGAGCTATTAAAATGAAGATTAAAATGAGTATAATTAGGCTTCTATGTAATTGATACATGAAAATGAATGGTCAACATTGCACTGGTATTAATTATGGATTATTTTGGAATCATAGCATAATACACTTTTAATTACTTCCCCCATCTAACTTAATCATGGTTTTATAGCTAAGTTATAAACCAATGGAGAGTTGAGAGGAGGCATCACTTGAGAAATATTTATGTATAATATTACATTTAATGATTTCTCTGTGCTTTTGGTTGTTTTGCTGTTCAGCTTGAAAACTGGTGCTCCTAAGGCTCAGATTAAGGGGCCCGTATCATTAGTGCTAGAAGAAAGATGTAGCCTTCCCCTTTGCCTGTGGCATCCACAGAGCCTGTAACCCTAGGACCACAGACTCTTGCCAACTGCAGTGCATCTGGAAATTGAACCTATGAAAACATATAAATAGTTTTCAGGTCAAGATAAAGAGAAATGGAATAGATGTAACTAGCCCTTGCCTTTGTATGTGTAGAGAAACTTGAACAAGACTGAACAAGACCAATTCCAAAGGGATTTTATGCATGAGAACTTGAGCAACAGACCTAAGTTGACTAAATCAAGCCTTTATACTGAATCATTAGACTTATAATAGAATGAAAATCAGACATCCAGTGTTAATCATAACATAAACCCTCTTGTATTTTTCAGAAGTGTGAAAACAGTTTAATAAAATTTGAATTGTTTCTACATATTAGATGTAAGAAATAATTTCACTTAATGATAAGTACAATGAATTTGATTGAAAAAATCCCAATTTACAAAATAGAAGCAAATAAATGCAGACATGTATTCATTATCAAATTATAAAATAAAAGTAATAGTTCTTGATGAGATACCATCAGTTTATTCTTCATTTCGGATGATGGAGTTAATCATTTTGGTATGCTTAGTAATATTTATACATATTAAAATAATGGAACGTTGAGATTTGAACACAATGACAGTAAACCATTAAAATTCCACATTCACATTATACAGCCATCTTGAATCCATAATGAATGTTAATAATGTAAAAAAATATAAAATGATTGTGATATAACCATTTAACCATTAACAAATGGAGTTTTATGATCACTATTTACTCTGCTAATTTGCTCTGAAATATAAGCAGTTGCTTTTCTGTGTGATACATTTTTGTGCCTTAATACGTAATTTGAAATGTCCTTAGTGTAAAAATATACCAAAGTAAATAAAAAAGGAGACACTTATTTACAAAAAATATTGTATACATATTACATAAATGCAACTGTTTCAAAGTCTTACACAATATTGATATAATCATTTCCATCATTTTGTTATAAAAACTGTAGTGTTGCAAAGGCAGGCTGTGATTTTGAAATTCTCTTTAAAATGAATATAATTTGGCTGCCTCTTAAGATAGCAAAGTTTCTCCAAGTATGCTAAGAATTCAAAGTTGACCTCTAGAAGAACAATTCTTCTTTGATTAAAGAGAATCTAGTCCCCATTTGGAGGTGAATGAAAATGCACCTGAAAAAGGAGAAACTTAATTATATTACTGAATGTTTTATATTTTATAATCCTCGTAACACCAGTCATTGAGCCTATTATCTTAGCACCACTGGCATGGATTTTTATTATATGGTACCAATCATAATAGGAATGGAAACTTACATATGGTATACCATCCCTATTTTTGTGGAATTTTACCTTACCAAGTATGCTATCATATAATATAAATTCAAGTGTTTAAGGATGGTTCCAATGATGGTATATAACAATCCTGCATTTTACCAATATTATGTATACATTTTGCTGTAAATATTAAATGGAACTGTAAAGAAATAAACTGTAATGCATACTCCTTTAATTCACCAGAACACAAGAATGGTTTCATTTCTTTGATTATGTTGTAACATATTTGAATATAAAAGTAATTTGATCTTCTTCTAGTTCAAAAGCTCTGGAAATCATGAAACTTCCTACTGCATGATTTATTTTGATGGTTAAATGCCAACCATTGCTTTATTCTCTCTTTTAGTTTATACACTGTAACTTGTGCTTAAGTAACTGTAGCATACTCTAGGCCTATAGCCTGTGGTACATAATTTCACAGTTTCAAAATTGTTGAGGGGAAGACCTTCCATGTTTTAGGAAGTTAGAAACCAAACATCAATCTCATGAGCACCCACAGCGGTCTACTACCATGGCTGGAATTTTTCCATATATTATTTGTTCTTTGCCATTAAAATATAGCATATTAATTGGAGACATCTTTGTAGGAGTACAGCAAGGACCTGCTGAACCTCTAGGATTTGCTTGGTGTACAAGATGGGTATGAGGATACTTTTGTAAAAACACAAATTCACATTCTCCAGAGCAGTAATTGGCCTTGTATCTCTTGGGTGCAATAATCCAATCCCATCCAAAAGCTTCAAAATCCACAGTGAGAGGGTAACGGCAGCATCGCGATTCTGTTGAGTGCTCATCACAGTCAAGCCCAAAATCTCTTCTGGATCTTTTTGGTGTGTCTGTTACCTTGACCTCTAAAAAGGGATTCTGTGTAAAGAGGAAAGAGCAGAAAGTGTATGAATACACTGGAAAGCACTTTCCACCTTAAGAAAAGGGAATCATTCTTTTTTCACTACAAGGCATCATATTGGTTTATATTAGTTTTGATGTTTCCCCTCATAGCACAGAAATATCACAGTAATGCAAAATCCCCTAAGGGCAATTCTCTGTGCTTTCAATTTTTGTTGTCCCCAGTTGTAATAGCCCACTGTTTGGCACATGCTAGATTTCCTGAAAATCTGTATTACATGAAAGGGAAAGGAGAATGAAGGAGAAAACAGGAGGAAGTGGTGAGCTGCTTCTCCCCTCATATGGTGATTCAGCATCTGTGTGATACAGTCACCTGTGATGATTCCTGGAGAGTTGGGTGAAGTCAGCCATTCTCTGTCTCCTTAGATTTTCACTTGAGAAAACTCAAATATTAAAGTCAGAGCAAAATAGCTACCACCTAGCAACATATTCATATAATATTCATTTATCTACATAATAATTTGTTAGTGCTACTATCACTGTCCCAGTCTGTTAATGCATTTTAGATGTTTTTGTCTTTTATATAGAATGAGGAAAACATGATTTTAATCACATGTTTAGTAACTAAAGGCTGTAAAATCATCAACTTTGATTATTGAAATATTATCTGAAAAAAGAATACTTTCCTAAATATTTGATGATAATTTTAATGTATTAAAATGAAAATAAATGTGATTATTTAATATTCTCAAAAAGAGGGCTTTTGGGGGGGAGTTCATACTGTTTCAACTAATACATATAAGGAAAAGCCATTTAGAAAATTAATAGTCTTTTAAAGAATATTTTCATTTATAGTGGATCTCACAAATTATAACCAAGACCATTTAAAAGTTAAAAAGAACTTATGTTCACTTTTTTTTATAGCCAAGACAGTATTGAAAGGAACATTTATAACATCAGGTACTTACAAACATTTGAAAGGTCTCAAATAAATGATCTAATAATGCTTCTCAAGGACTTCTTAAAAATTCACTTTTTAAAATCCTATTGTAAATTATGTCAGTGGATACAGGTGAAATGATAGGCTTTTGGAAGCAGAAGCAAACAGACACTTAGGGAGGCCAAAAGAGTAACCCTAAATTTACATTAGATTTCAAAAGTTTTTGTTCATTTAATAATATGCGAGATATTGTCATCTAGTTGGCTGATACTATATTAGTTGTCATTTCCTAAGTAAAATATTTCATGACAATGCCAAGGCAGCTCAAAAGTAAGCTAGGTGGCAAAGGCTAACTGGCTTAGAAATAAAAACTGTTTTTAGGGGGTACCACAAAGAAATCTATGTGTGAGTGCATTGACTAATGACCATATTTACCAGTAGGGATCCTAAATATATTTAATCCAACATGGTACATTTTATATCATAATTACCTAATCACTAAGAATGAAAGTATTTTAATTATTGCTTGGAAATTGTTCATGAATTTTCATTTTATTTGAAAGAGAGATAAAAAGACAGATAATTGTAATGCTTTGAAACCTATTTTATCTTGCTTTATGCTAAGCCAGAAATTTTCAGTTACATTTGGCACCCTTCTGGAAGGAAAAAAAAAAAAGTCTGATTTGTTGAGTATGAATTGGGATTCATTCATTATATACAATTCATATTTTTGTTCATGTAAGTATGTAGCATATCAATGAAAAGCACCTTATATTTTATTCTCAGTTCAAAAGAACTTCCTAAGATGTTAAGAACCATGGTATAATTGTTTTCTATAAATCCTCATGCAAAGTAGGGTATCAAGGGAGTATTCCATGAAGTGAAATTGAAATTGGACACCTCATTTTACTGGGTACAGGGCCACCATTGGGATAAGATAGCTTTGTCTGGCTCATGAACACAGGAAATTGGTAATTGTGTCCCGGTATTACTCATTCACATTATGGGTTAAAATATGACAAGATTATTAGAATGTTATTTTCACTGATCACTTACCAACCCATCTTCTCCTGGTCCCGGGAAGGTTACAGCAAGATCATGACCATTCTCATCTAAAGCTTTGATTTCAATGCCTAAGTTGGATTCAGGTTGTTTGAGCCAATTTTGCAACACTGTCTTCACGTCAATGCTCTGCCAAATACCAGTGCCTGGGTTCATGTCAAGTTTCAGAGATCGGATTCCAGTATACCTTGTACCGTCTTTCATAGGTTTGATGAGTCTCAGGATTTGCACAAACACTGTTGTAGGAGTCTTGACAGGTCTCAGATATATCCACAATTGTGCCTTTACTACTTTATTGTATTGTATTTTGGAGCTAAATTTAAAGAAGCAACATTTGGGTTTTCCTTCCACTTGTGTTAGAAAATCAGCTATAAATGAATAAAAAAAAAAGAGTTCCTGAAATTATTTTTCATCAGAAATTAATAAAATCCCTCCTCCCTAACACTTAGGCATTTTTCCCTTTGGGATAATGTTTGCATGTGTAAATGAAATACCATGTACAACTTCATTCATAATACAGAGAGCATATCAAAGAAAATAAATTATTCAGGCTTTTCAAAATTGTTTAGACAGAGACACTTTTAATCATTTGTGAGAAATCCAATCTCTTTGCAAGGAACTCTAAGCTAAGAGAAATGAACAGTGGATGAAATTTGAAAATGATGATGATTAGAGAGAACAAGAGACACTGCGGAGGAACATCCACTTAGAATTCCTTGGGAATCTGAGTAGTTAACACTGACTGAGCAGCTGTACCGATCAGTCTGGAGTAAAGAACCCTTCCCCCAGGCCTGAATTACCTGGGGACAAGACACACTGAGCAACTTACTGAGCCTCGGGAATTAGCAAACAAGATAGAACTTCTGATAGGTTGTGTCACTGGAGTAGCCCTTTAAAGCAACAAAACTAAGCAAAGCAGCTAGCACAGATTCCCCACGTTACATTCAGCTGTCTGAAAAGTTAGAAAGATTTGCCTTTAGCTCTGGATTGTCATTCTAAGGATAGGCACTAACAGGTTTTTTTTCCCCCCTTTGGATTTTCCAAAACTGTCTATAAATGAGGTAAATCTACTCCAGCATTATTTATAGGAGATTCTTAAATGAAAGTTACTTGTTGCATTGTTAACCTGATGACTGAATAAGGAAAACAATATTATGACACTCCTTTGGATCCAGTTTAAAGCTTATAAAATGCTACATTATAGCAAGATCAGAGACACATGGCACAAATATTGTTCTGTCCTGCTTCCTCGGTGAAGGTGCCTGCTTCCCTTTCCAGGAGAAAATACTCTTTAGAGCCTAAGGAAAAAGGAATTGCAGGCCATGTATTATCTGTACTACAGGTAATAGTGGTTCCTGTTATGAAGAATGGAATATGTGTGAAGGTTATTAAGCAGTGTGCCTGCTTGGAAATATGCAGAGTCAGTACTACCTTCAATTGTGCTCTGGTCAAGGTACAAGCAGTGCTTCATGAGCCACAACTTATCCGACTAAAATGTTTATTTCCTAGACATTTTCTGATGGCTCATAGTTATCATTATGCCATGTTTACTTCAGAATTGCTCTTACTAAAATATTAAGGTATTTTAAATGTTTTCTCGTTCCTCAGTGTAACAGCTTTCAAAATTAGATATTTTAATCTGTGAAGCAAACACTATGAAAGAGACAGAGTTTGGAATAATGGAAATCACTCGGGTGCTCAGCAGTGCTCACATAAGATTCAAATCTTAGTAGATTCCTTCCTGTCTCTGTTACTAGTGAAAAGCTTATTCTCGTAAATGCATATGTGAATTAACAAATGCACTTCAAAAATTCCCTGTGAGGTTTTCGTGTTTCTGTAGTATCTGCCAGTCCCTGCCTTGGTAGTTAGTATGGGAAAGCATGACCATGCTTTATTTGCCAATTAAGCTAGATACCATTAATGCTGGGCAAGCATTTCATTTTTTCAGCTTTTTAGCTCTCTAAGGAAGCAAACAATGTGACAGACTTCCACCTCAACATATTTCTCATAAAACCTTGGAGAAAAAAAAAAAAAGAAACTCCTTCCCCTGCTCCTTACATAAAAGCTGACAGCTTATTAAAAGAGCCTGAAAATAGATCTGTTTCTCATAAACACTAGAACAACAGTCAGCAGAACTGTTGACATACACTAACAGGACTACTTACACTCGGTAGGCATGGTAATGATGGTCTCGGTCGTCGCGTGGTAATCGTCATCTTCCAGAGAGCCATCACTGCTGTCATCCCTCTGCACGTCGTACTGATCAATCAGTTCCCGGAGTGGAGGTGCTTTGGGTAAAAGTTGTCTTATAGCATCTTTGCTGATGTTAGGAGCTGTTTCCAGGCGAAGTTTACTGAGGATTTGAATTTTTATGGCTTCTATTCTTGAATATTTAGTGTTTTGTCTCCACGTGCATGCGTTACACGGTCCTTCTTTTTCCACATTTTCTTTCTGCTCACTGTTTTCATTTAGATCCACTGGGCCAGCCACAATCAGCATAAACAGGTAAATATAAACACAGATTTGCAATTTTTGCATGATTTTAAAAAGCTATACACTCTCCTCCCCTGTTCTTCTTTTTTCCTTGTCCTTTTTTTTTTTTTTTTTTAAACTTTTCAGTCACAGCAAGCAGAATGGTAATGCATGAACAGCCTGAGACGACTTGCCACCCCGGTGGATCTTTGATACTGTATGCCAAGTGGCTTTTTATATTCCCACTTAGATGAGGCAAGTGTTGCCTGGGTCTGTGATTGGCTCCTGCTCCACAATGAATCTCGCTGTCAGAGGTTAAAACCCTGTCTGTCACAAGTCACCAAACAGTATTTTGTTACAGTCAAGGGTGAGCTGATTCATTTGACTAGTTCATAAAAGAAATAAATCTGCAAATAATGAAAGGCCTGTGTAACATTTTAAAAACTAAAGTCTACCTTAATAAAATTAACTGCATTTAAACCTTACTCATTTTAATCCTTAAATTATAACTTGAATAAGTCATTTTAATTTAAATTTTAGACTTGAAATATTGCTTCCTCAGAAACTGAAATTATTCTGTCATCTAGGCAAGTATTTGAAGTAGAAAATATTTCTGCTTTTATTTTACATCATTTTTAGTTTAGCAAGCATTTGAAGTTAAAATATTTATTATTTGCTTCATATTTTTAGTAGTTTTCAAGAAAGTAAAAAATTATGAAGATCTTAATTTAAAAGATTTTGATACTAGTAAAAGATTTTCCTCTGTGATCAAATTTGTTTTCTACTGACTAAATTCTTAGCACATGTTGAAAATCATACTATAATGATATATTATACATGGAATCATTTTAAAGTAGATTAATATCTTCTGCTAATATAAAGATTAAGCAAAATTTATTTTTAGATTTTAAATGATGCACTGAAAGGGTCCGTGGAGTGTTTCTCTACACGTATACGTTGTGTAATGTCTAGATCATGGTTTCCATATCTTTTCATTTATCATTTCTCCATGGTGGAAAAGTTCAAAATCCTTTCTCCTTTTCTTTTTGTTTTTATTCAAAACCTTACAGTATACAATAGTCTTGTATAGTCTTATCATACTTATAGCGTTTCTTATTCTAAAGGAATTAGATACTTATTAATGCGATTAATATTATTCACTCTGTTTTCATTCAGTAATTCTTTATTATTTATTATTAGCCAATTGAAAAATCCCTGAACTTAGGAGACAATGGATTGTATGACTGGTGTTGCAACACTTATCTGTTGGCCTCAGATTTCCAGTGGTAAAAGTAAAAAGTTGTGTAGCTCTGTTCCCTATAAATTTACATCAGAATATTGTGATCCCTTAAAAAACAAACGAGCACCATAATAGAAGGGTGTCCTTCTGCTGTTTCCCAATATTGTGATAGGTTTGTACCCCTCTGCCAGTTTCTCATTTTTGACCAGAGGGCAGACACCTGGCAGGGGTTTGGGGCAAGGTCTGGGAGCAGAGAATAGAGCTTTTTGTTCTGAAAAATGTAAGTGGCCTCTGGAGGGATCAAACGCTCAACCCTAGCTTTGAGGGCCACAAGATCTAATCAAATGAACTATTAAAGAGCTACACAAACATGACCAGTGAGAAACAGAGGATATTTCCAGGCCACAGGATTTCTTCTTGCTGCCATTTTTGGGAAACTAGGGGCTCCTAAGAGATTTAATGCATTACTTTTTGCAGTGGTTGTTCTAAGCAAATGCAGTGGCTCATATCAAATATTTATTGTTTAGGTCACTACCATTTTTGCACACTGTACACCAATTTACTGCCTCAGTGCACTAAAATGCAGCCCAGTAGCCTAAAAAGTTAATGCATTTTCATCAAATTCTTAAGAGGTGTCTACATCTCTTGAGAAAAATGGCCTTCCATAATGCATTGGATTTGCCCATCATTAAAGATTAAGGAAAACCAGACGCCAACCAGATGCCCTGGGGATTTCACATATTCTTTGTTACCAAGCAGTATCAGTTTGGGCTCCTCAAGTTTTGGTGTTTTGGAAAATTAATTTTCAACATGTTACCACCTTTGTAACGTAAGCTTCTATACACTTCTGATTAGGTCAGTACCCGTTTTGCTGTGTGTCGAATTGCAGAACATTTGAGAGCTCAAGCTCTAGGTGAAAAATCTCCACTTTGCCACTTCTAACTATATGATTATCAGTGAAACACTTCACTTCTTTACCCTTTGTTTCCTCATAGAATTTGGAGGAGATATAATTAAATAATGCACATGAAATGCTAAGCATGGAGGCTGTCATGTAGCAAGTCATTGATCTCTGGTCTTGAATGCTGGTTCTTTGCTTCTGGCCCAGGATTGAGAGTATGCTTACACTGCTCCTCCCCCAGACTGCCTCGAGTTGTCACTGCCAATTGTCAATACACTTAGACTCAAACAAGGAAGGTTTGCTAATGCAGTTCTTCTACAAGCTGTGTTTCAGTTCTTTATTCTTCCTATCAGGAATAAAGAAAAAATGGTTTTTCACTTTCATATCCCATCAGTTCTCACTATTCATGGATTGCATGTTTGCAGATCTTCCTAGCTGCTCAAATCTGTTTACAAAAGGCAGAATTCCCGGTGCTGCTGCGGTCATTCATCGACATGCATGAGCAGCATAAATTTGAGGCTTGTGACACACAAGTTCCTGGCTGAGGTCAGGCAAGACAAGGTTCTGCCTTATCGTTCCAGCTCTGATACTGCAGACAAGTGCCCTTTTTTGTAGTCTCTGTTGTGCTGTATTCTTCACAATTTTTCGTGCTTTTGTTGCTGTTGCTGTTGTTGTTGTTGCTACTGACTTTGCGGTTCCAAAGTGACCTCTGAGTATAACATTCCTAAGCACAAGGTGGCTGTAGCGGAAAGCAAAACAATGTGGCCAGGAGCTGGGGAGTGTGTGGGCAGGAGGGGTGAGTATTTAATCGATACAGAGTTGCCATTTGGAAAGGCAAGAACGTTCTGGAGCTCATTGGTGATGTATATACTCAAAAATGGCTAAAATGGTAAATTGTTTGTTATGCATCTTTTGCCATGCTTCCAAAAGATAGTTATATGCTTTAACAAAAAATATTAAAGCCCATATGTGTTTAGATAATCTGAGGCATGAGTTTAATGCTTGGGCTATGAGTTCAATGTTAGTGAACACGTGTTGAAAAAAACAAGATAATATAATGACTGGTAGATGGAAAATGCTGAGACCAGAGACTCATCTAACATGGTACTTCCTTTAGGAGTAATTTTCAAGGCCTGAGCTGGTAGAGACTTCCTAGAACATAGCTGCCATGTAAATGAGAGCTGAACTTCTCTGGAGGACAGTGCTGGATAGATTTTTAAAAAAATAAGATTTCAAGAACTGTCATTCCCTTTCCAGGAGAAGGATCTGCCAGCTTCCTACGTCCCAAAGCAGGAGGGATCATCAGGCATAGGAACCTGCACTGTTGGCTGATATCTGAACTCCCAGTTTGGGTTGCTGTCTTCATTGGCACAGGACAGTTCTTCTCGGGATGAGTGAGTACAGAAGCATTCATTCATGTCAAGTGGGTTTCCTTTGGCCTCCAGCTGTTGGTTTGTCTCAGACTGTTTTTAAAAGCAGGTTCTCGTGGAAGTTGGAATTTAGGCAGCCAACTCAACACCTTGCAAGATTTGTTTTATTCTTCCTTGAAATGGATGGCTATTGTGGTTCTTGGATTTTCTATAACTATCAGTAAGATAGCAAACAAGTATCTCTCTTCTCTGTTACAAATAGTCATAGGTGTTTGCAAAATGTAATTAAGGATATCAAGGATATTGTGCAAAACAGAGTTAATGCTTTTGCTCTTTGCAAAGCCTCAGAACTACTGAGTATACTAAGGTTAACACTTGCAGGAAGTTTAGTGATAGAGCCAGAAGAGGGTGGAGGGGTAGGTGAGATTTGGAATTCAAACAGGAGTGGCTCATGAAAAATTTAACTGCGAGAAAAAAGCTGAAAGTTAAAGTTGATCTAATAATTCTAGCTATTTTCTCATAGTAACAGCTCTTCTATATTACTACAGGCCAATTATTTTTGAAACCAGAAAAATTATATAGTGCTCAACTCATAACTGACTATGTTAGTTTTCAATAAATCGTAACAAAGAAACTTTTTCAAAGACCACCCTTGAGGGCCTGGTGTAATAGCCTAGCAGCTAAAGTCCTCGTCTTGTATGTGCCAGAATTCCATACAGGCACCGGTTCTAATCCTGGCATACTTGCTCCCTATTCTGCTCCCTGCTTGTGATCAAGGAAAGCAATCGAAGACCATGCAAAGCCTTGGGACCCTGCACTCTGACTTGGCAATAAAAATAAATGTCTTTTTAAAAAAATGTCCTTGAGCTAGAAAGTAAGAGAATAGTAATAGAAGGCACAGGCTCTGAAATATGAAAGTAGTTCAGGAATATCATTGGAAATATGGGATGAAAAAATAAATTTGTTTTGCTGCAAAAATGTTTTGAGATGTATGAAAAAAAATTGTGAAATCCTTCTAAGAGATTTTCAAAAAGCACATGAAAACATGTATTTTGAAAAAAATGCATTTCCAACTTTTTGCACCAAAATAAAATCATTTCGTGAGCTTTTTGAAATACCTACATATTGAATGTGTGTGTTTAAGTGTGTGGATTCATTATTTTATGATACAGTTGAATGCCCGTTGCCCACCTACCTCCCTTCTTGTGGCCTGGGAAAGCAGTTGAGGACAGCCCAATGCCTTGGGACCCTGTACCCACGTGGGAGATCCGAAAGAGGCTCCAGGCTCCTGGCTTCAGATTGGCTCAATTGCAGCCGTTGTGGCCACTTCGGTAGTGAATCAGTGGATGGAAGATCTTCCTCTCTGTCTCTCCCCTTTTCTCTGTATATCTGCCTTTCCAATAACAAATAAAAATAAATTTTAAAAAATAGTTGAAAGCCTTTTATGTCCCTGGCCCAGTGCTAGATTCTGAGGATGAAGCCATGAGTCAAACAAGTACAGACAATGTTTCCATGAAACCTATGATCTGGTTTCTTCATATATCATATGAAGTATGAGGAGGTCAGGCACTGTGGCACAGAGGCATAAGCTGCCTCTTGCAACACCCAAACCCAATATCTCAGAGCAGGTTTAAATACCAGTTCCTCTATTTGCTATTCTATTTCCTGCTC